ACAATAAATTGTTGAACGTTTCTGTGGTGGTGAAAGGGAAATATTCGACATCATAGAAATAATGCCAGCTACGGACACAGTCACCGAGCCATGGAATGCATGCTGATGTAAATGTCTCGATCCGGGTATTTGATTTATATTGATTACCCTGGTAAGATAGGTCTACCTCCTGCAAATATACGTTGTAATAATTGTATTGTAGTCCACAGGGATCAGTTACTACAGTTGATATATTTGGTCTTTTTCATGATTTGTAGAGTAGGATATACAAGAATACAAGATTATTTATTTTCCGTCGATTTCGCAAAACATACAACATAAGCTACATAGAGCTTGTATTTCGACATAGGTGAAATACCAACTGTAACAAATTTGGTTTCCCGTGTTGAATTTCATTCATTTCCTACTGTTTACAATTTCCACAGTGTCAGATCACGCACCGGTAACGTGCCGTCTTCTTTATCCTGAATATACCAATATTTAGTCGCAATACCAGGCACACGATCATTTCATCAAAAGCATACGGTACTTTAAAGTTTCCCTACCCCTGCTAAAGAAAAGAGATTACATTTTCCCGCTCTCAGCTTTGGCTGTACTGGATGGACTTGAGCATCAAACCTAAAATAATGTTGCATATTCTCAGGAAAAACTTACACGTAAAGCATGTTCACATTTAACAAGATAAAGCAATGTCGACGGCTTTGTGAATCAACGTTTGAAGAATGGTCATTGAATTTCTTACCCAAATTGACTGAGAATTGCTAAAGTATATCAAGTAACTTGTATCTGATTAGTGGGGGATGTAGTAAGGATTGAACGGGTATAATACTTTTGATATATGCGTGGTAAACATGTGCCTGGCTGCGGTTTATGACCTGTCCAACGGCGAAAACCCAGTGTTTATCGTTACATTTCAAACTATGTAAGTATCGCTTCATCTGGAGTAAACGGTTCTTGCAATCTGCTTAATACAGATATTATTACTATTGCATAGTTCTTCCATGTGAACATCAAGATATACGCATAATAAATCCTTCAGGACTAGCTAAAATGAAAACATCTTGATGGCATTGAAGAAAATAGAAACAGACTATAGATAACGTGTCATCAAGCGAGGCAGCATCTTAAAGGTTCACATTCTGTGTTTGGACATTGGAATGTCATCATTGGTTCTCCATGCATACGCTTAGGGCCACACATGTATTGGACATCAAAAGTCAACTATGACATAGATTCCAGAAAATCTCTACACTGAAGAAATATGTGCGATTTTTTTTAAAATCATAAATATAAGAATTTGTGAAAGATGTTAACTCTAAAATGTACATTGATTTTTAAACCCGTCAATTAGCTGTAACTTGTTTTTGTTTATATTTCAAATCTAGCAGGCATTTTTACATCATTATTTGCCTGTCAGCCATACATATCCATGGTTGTGAAGTGGAGGGGAGTAAGTTAAAAATGTATGCAATTCTGCCAGTACCATTATACCTGATGAGGGTTTTCCTAGATTCGCTATTACAAAAACTTGTAATGCAATTATGAAAGCACCACCGAACACTACTACTGATATTCCGTTATGAAGTCCTGTGCATGCCTGGTAAAACTGGTCATTATTTTAGTCAAGGAAGTTTTAGCGCAACGAACGAAACGAATGCATACCAATCACCAGTCTTACTGGCTTTAACGTCGATATGTTTAAACACACCCGTTCAAATTACTACTTCACTGTCTTTAATTTTGTATTGCGCTACACTTCAAGTCCTTGATGAAGCGAACGTCAGTAAGATATGAAATGCACTACTGATGAATGACGGCGAAATATATCACAAAGATATTTCTTAAAATTTTGAAGTTATTCGAAATTACATTAATTTTGATATACTTTGAAAAAGAACATTGTCGGCCTGAAAATATCATGCAGAATATATGCAGGAGTCTTTCATTATTGTACGTAGTGGCCTTATGACTTTTGCTATCACAAAGTGTAGGCATTATCCTATGTTATGGACATTGCTACACTCAGACAGACGTTGTTTAATATTGATGCCATGCTATTTGTGAACATCTCTGTACAGAATAACTTAAAAACAGGTGCATTATGTTTTCTAAAAAGTAATTGAAGGAATTTCTGTGGTGCGAAATAACTGCACCTGTCGTCTTTGTGGTTATAATTACCGATTTTGCAGAACTAGCTACGTAATACAGTTGTTTGAAACAGATAATCCTCGTATAATTTTTAATTTCAGACACACACTTTTCTGGTGTAATGAACCCGTAGTTTACCTGTTATTGATTTAATCCTATTCTATATCGGTATCTAAAGATACCTTGGATGAGTTACTCTCAAGAAGCACACTTCTCCGGATACCAATATCTGCCTCTCCAAGACATTGTTAGCTTAATATATATATACTATCATACCTACATTTCCTTGTTTTATGATATACTGTATATATAATGAGCATAACAATTATCCATAAACCTTGTTTTGGAAATGCTCTTGTTAAGCTTACAATACTTGCCTGGGATCCACTGGTCATACATGGTGTTAACTTATTATAAAATGTCTTAGTGTTCCGCGCTCAGCTTCCTGCCTCTAAGTACATCTCTGAAGATTTTATTTTGAAGATTATATTTTCGATTAAACTTCTAACACACGGAAACTGCCGACGTCAAGGGATTCTATGTACCTACTGAATAGGACTACTTTTATCATGAAATGTTTTTTTAATGTTCCCAGATTGGAGGCCAACTGATTAACACGCAAAAACGGTGATTACATTTTACAAGTTGTCGACCATCGATATGAGGTTGTGTCTTGACTATCATAAGTTTATAATTCTATTTGAGACGTCTACTTTATTATCCCAAAAAGTAGGTTAATGTACGAAATTATATACGACAGTCTATCGAATAGAAAATATTGAATTCCGTTGGACATTTTGTTTATACTAAGTGCTATAGTACAGGGACACTCTCCATAATGGTTTCTCTATATAATGCTACTAACATATAGGTATGAAATAAAGGAACAGTGTATTCCTATAGATCAAAGGACGAGGGGCGTTAAGGGTAATTTATTCTGGCCTCATGAGGGATTTAGAATTAGTTGTTATATTCGTAATCTGGAATAAATGAAGTGCGTAAATATGAAATTTCAAATTCACCCTACATTTGGTATGGGATACATGGCATATGGGTAAATATCGTCTGTTGTGCGCTATTTACGTTGAAAATTGGCCATTTTGAAGCAAATGAATTAAACTGTCTTCAATTTTTAAAAGCATCCGCGTGAACCAAACAAAAACAATTGACATGCTTTAACAGTGTCATACCAGTGTTCATTTGTAGAAAGGAGTTTTTGATTGTCACATGCGCAGGCTTTCATTTCTGTAACCTGGCTGTCCAAAAACACCCTATTTTGGTTATTCTGTATAACAGCGCAATGTTGTTGCTATGGTAGGGCATCCGATTATCCGATATGATGTTTATAATAGAAATTTGTAAATAAATTAAGTTGATTTTTTTTACATTTTATGAGGCCGAAAATGACCAATAATTCCCCAAGTCCTTTGGGAAATCATTAACGACCTGTCAAAATATTGCAACATTTTAATCAAATTCTGAATACAATGCTTATATCAGTGACTCTAATTGGGTAATTACGCTAATTCAGGGAGGTCACATTCGTTTATCTAACACAGTACCATGGGTACTGGCAGAGTAGTAATAAAGGGAGGAAACTCTTATCGTCAGAATGAATACTATTTTATGCTACATTAGGGTCTTCATTCTAACCTGTTTATTACTTGCAAACAGACTATGGTGCAGTATTTCATGATCCTGTATAGCAGAGCGTCTTACATGCAATGTTTGCACAAAGGTACTAGCCTCGTCTGTCAATACACCTATAATACTATGGGTGTATTGACAGACGAAGCTAGTACCATTATGATGCCAATGTGATGTAATATAGATGTTTCCTTTACATATATTTGCATTTGTTTTGCATTGCCACTGTGTAAACTTGCTTAAGTACTCGTAAGCTGCGTGTTATCAGACCATATTTCTGGAGTGGTGATCGTGACGTCATCACAATCACAACGTTGGAAATAGCTGACCGAAACTGGCCGTTGGCTGTTCCATTTATTGATATTTATCTGAAAATTGCAGAAGAAATATGAAACTTAAAAATTAATTTATCGCCAAAACAAAGAGAAATATTGATATCAGTATTAAAATTGGGTTAACCGATTTGTCTATAATGCTATTGTTATGATAGGAACATGAAAGAAGTGTCAATCAAAATGCAGTTTTATGATTAAGCAGTTTTATAGATAAGTTAGACAGGAAGAGCCCGATTTTGAGAATTTAATCTACACAAATTTGTTGATATCAAAATATGTCTTATGCATGTACATTTTTTATATGTTAAATGGGCGGGTTGCATCGAAAATTTGACGAGATCGGTTGTGTGCACTGTCAATATTATCACTTTGCTTACATATCTATTAAAGTACTACGTACCCAACAAATAATTGCTTGTTCGGATCTAGTACCCATGTCGTTATTACTCATTGGACATCAATCAACAACAAAACTTTTCAATGCCGCGATTTTCATAGATGCACTCGTATTTTGATGCATTCCAGCTATAACACGTTGACTTAAGTTCTATGGAACAGTAACGTTTCCAAAAGTACTCTAGGGCTGATGGGTTGTGTCCCGTGTACTTAAGTGATAACATCGACAGTTTTTTTTCTATTTCTTTAAAGATAGTTTGCTCTTTGTAGGCAAAATTGAATAAGTGGATCACTTTACTTAAAACATGGTTATCGTGAAAATTCAGGTTAGGCATTCTCGTCTTATAAAATATTTGATAATTAAAACAGGCCTGTTTCATTGGACCAGAATCTAACATTTTTTTTAATTTTCTCTGTTGTAAATATTGGATAATATATAAATCCCGAATCTAGTAGTTTCGCGAAGGAGGACATACTGTCTAACTCGGACGATATAACGATCTTTTTCCTGGTTTAAGTGTATGACAAGCTTTGATGATAGAAATTGATATATCTTTATCATGGTTTGTCGTATTGGTGATACACTGGACATTTGACAGGTAAGTGATGTAAAATCCTTACAGCTTGTGTACTCGAATGGATTATTTTCAACTTGTTTTATACAGAATTTTGATACCGATGCAATAACCTCATCAAAATGCTATCCACTGACTTTATTGGTTAGTATCATTCACAAATTTTATAATATTTGATATTAAGCATATGTAGATATATTGTTATTATAACATATTGACTTAACTCTATGTATACATTTCGTTATAACTCCTTACACTACACAATATTGTATACAATGTAAAGCATACATAGATATATTGTTATTATCACATATAAACTTTACTATATGTACAAATTTCTTCATTACTTACTACACAACACAATATTGTATATCCTTATTGACTTTACTCTCTGTACATAATTGGTTATAACCCATAACACTACACAATAGTGTATATGTACAATGTAAAGCATACATAGATATATTGTTATTATCACATATTGGCTTTTATTTTTGTTCCTATTTCGTGATTACTTATAACACTACACACTATTGTATATGTACAATGTAAAGCATACATAGATAAATTGTTATTATTATAAGTGATGTTTACGTATAGAATATTATAATCAAGCACTGACTCTGATTGTATCTTACATGCGCCAGTATCTAAAGGTCGATGCCGTCATACTTATAAGCCGACGATAAGTAAACATGATAGATGAATAACCTTTATTAATTCCTAGCTCATAAATAATGTTATCTCTGGTTTTTATCAAAGCTACAGCAAAACAAATTTTGTTCCGGAAAGATGTTGATTTTCTTATTAATTAACATGTCAACACGCAGTTGCTAGTTTCGTTCTTTTCTAATGCTTGTAGTAATAACACTTGAATATTTGGTTTCCGTAAAATGTTGCAGCGTAAAATGCAATATCACGATAAAGTCAATGAGAGGTCAACCTCACATCAACGCTGGTTTGATCTCTAAGAAAAAAAGCCGTACTTGAAAAGTACACATAAAATGTAATGCTTATATCAGATCTACATTTCAAAGACCATTTTTTGAAGATAACGTAAGAAATCTTAATTTTCGGTTTTAACGAGATGGAAATTTGTGTCCAAGGCACTCCGAAATATATTGAAGCAATGAATGTTTCAGCAAATGTTGTTATGATCCATTGCTATTGATGACAAACTTAATAAAGCCCGGTAGGGGTATAATATCCGCTAAAATATTCATTATTTTTATTTACATTTTGATAAAGTAGTTTTGCTTTATTTAGTTATTTCGAACAGTTTTTGAACAGCAAATCAAGTGTTGACAACAATGAAACGTTAATACAATAGCAAACGTGGTTATAGTCTCATGACAACATTTGCCTTCGCATTAAAATGGAAGGATGCAGAGCAAACGCAAATATTACGAAAAAACGCAAAAGGGGAAAAGTGTTTATATTATCATTGATAATGACACAATTTACGATACAAATTGGCTGCAAGTGGTATTTTAATCTTAAACTTGTACTTTACGTTAATAAAAAAAATTGCTAAGTGGGTCTATTTAAATCATCCTTATAAAACAATAAGTTTCCTTTTTGCGAGCCGAAAGCTTTAGTTGACATAAAATGCCTAGGTATATGAATATATGAATACAGTGCGTAGTCATGTACGTACTTTCTCTGATTGCAATATGCATATGTATTACCAAGGAGCACTATAACTCCTATTTACACCAGAGATAGAAATTCCCACGTTTACAGTACACTAATGCCAATAATGATAATAAAATGTCAATGTTGGTACCTTAAACCCCGCATAGTTAAATTCTGTATTGATAGCATTGATGAATTACTAATAAAATGTACTACCTGTACTTCATTACTTGGCCATTTCGTCCATTTAGGACTCCTCCATGGCACTTCATGTCGACAAAATAAAATGTCATGTCTACAATGTTGTGAAGCACGTTGCAGAAATACAGGGAAATGGGATATGTGCCTATTAAAAAACTATCAAGCTCCTCCGAGTAATTTTGCGAATTATAAAGAACGTTATACAAATGTTGTATATAATTAGTATTATCAACTGAAGAGACATCCTTCTTTTGGCATGCATGTGTTGCAAAAGTGTGGCGAAATTGTGATAATAAATATCAAAACTTATATTGCTGTCCCTCTTTTATCGGTTAGGTTTTTCTCGTTTGGTATCCTTCTTGTAAAAGGTCCATATTTTGCAAGTTTCAGGAACGATCATCAATAGTAGTAATAAGTCATCACTACTGTGTAGTTCTGTTTAAAGCTTTTGGATAAACTTCGGAATTCCCGGCAAACTCGTTTATTTAAAAACATTTATTTGACCTATTTATTATTCTTTTGAACTTTTAATGAAAGCTTGTTCACAGTTTCAAAATGCGTTTAATGCAGTGGATACTAAAGCGATGCACACAACCTAACATCGTTTCTTGAAGGGCTAAATACATCTTGTCGTATTGCAGAATTATCTGCTCTTGTGAGCAGGTATTGATTGTTACGTCATTTGTTTGTGAGAGTAACGTCATCAATTTTTGAGAAAACGACGTAATTTTCTCACACAAACCAATGACGTAACAATCAATACCTGCTCACAAGAGCAGAAAACTCTGCAATACGAAAAGACGGAATAACGTAATGGGAGTTGTTTATCAAAGGATATGTTTCGTGTCGTTTATTAAAGGATACATTTCACTCCTTTTTCTACACTGATTCATTTTCACTTTACTCTCAAAGGTCGTGGTAGGCTGCGGTGGTTTAGTGATAACACATGCAACAACAACATTGTTTACAACAGATGAGTTGTAACAAAACAGACTACTGTAGATCATAGGGACATTACGTTTTTCAACAGATAAGTTTATCAAAATACATACCTTTTTGGAAATATCTGCAATCTTCAGCATTTATGCCCTTGAAGCTTTATTCCAGCCCCTCTTGTCTTGTATATATCTATTAAGTATCTATTATGATCAATCAAAGATAAAAAACACAGAAAATAATTTGTTTTATGATACAGAAGTACTTAGTGCAGATTGTAACTCCGATAGAGAAATTCTTTTATTTAGGTAAATGCTTCTAGACAAATCGCTTGACCGATATTCATTCTAGATTTTAACTTATATCATACAACACTATATCGAAATTCATTACGTCAATGAACGCAAAACGTTGGGTATTGAAATTTGTGAACTGTATTTCTGAGTACTTTGATAGACACGTATACAGGATTTGGTGTGTAAACCTGACCTGGTATCAGTGTAGTTATTCTTTATCTGATTTGTAGCGTGATAGTAAAATGAGTTTATTGACGCATCATGTCAAATGTTCAAGGCCATACTTTGTGTTACATTTTCTGTTAAATAGGAGTTCTCTCGTGGACCTTTTCTGATGATAATACATTTTGTACTTGTGACGCTATAAAGTAAAGGTTCAATGAAAAGCTTAAATATAAAGGAATACCGGTTTGAAATTGACCTTAGTGCACATACGGATCAGAGGCAGTCCGTACTGTGAATATAAAAGAGAGCATATGGAGTTATCTCCATACAGGATAAGAGCATTCAGCCAAACAGCACGTTCTTACCTCGTGCATGGTTTAATATGGATTTTGCTCATTACATTCGTATATCTGAATGCAATCGAAATGTCAACGGTAAGCAATAGTGGATGGGTTTATCGGCTGTAACAACATCATACAAGTCAATCTAGCTCAAAGATTGGTATTTAATCAACGTGGACATCAATTAGATATTTTTCTAACATGGTTCAAGTCGGATTTCGGTTTGTGTCACTACTGTATCTTTTGAATCAAGTATACAATTTAATGACAATGAAACTCCTGATAATAGATTTGATCGTATTTCTAGTTTGTTTTGTCTTTCATTTACCCAATGGAGGTTTTCGCAGTTTGATCTTTGGGCTGTTGGATTGGTATTTCTATTTTTGAACTTTGGATTGTTGGTTTGGTAGTTCTAGTTTGATCTTTGGATTATTGGTTTGGTAGTTCTATATTGATCTTTGGATTATTGGTTTGGTAGTTCTATATTGATCTTTGAATTATTGGTTTGGTAGTTCTAGTTGGATCTTTGGATTATTGGTTTGGTAGTTCTATATTGATCTTTGGATTATTGGTTTGGTAGTTCTATATTGATCTTTGGATTATTGGTTTGGTAGTTCTATATTGATCTTTGAATTGTTGGTTTGGTAGTTCTAACTTGATCTTTGAATTGTTGGTTTGGTAGTTCTAACTTGATCTTTGTATTGTTGGTTTGGTAGCTCTAGTTGGATCTTTGTATTGTTGGTTTGGTAGCTCTAGTTGGATCTTTGGATTGTTGGTTTGGTAGCTCTATATTGATCTTTGGATTGTTGGTTTGGTAGTTATAATTTGATCTTTGGATTGTTGGTTTGGTAGTTCTAGTTGGATCTTTGGATTGTTGGTTTGGTAGTTCTAGTTTGATCTTTGGATTATTGGTTTGGTAATTCTATATTGATCTTTGGATTGTTGGTTTGGTAGTAATAATTTGATCTTTGGATTGTTGGTTTGGTAGTTCTATATTGATCTTTGGATTGTTGGTTTGGTAGTGCTAGTTTGATCTTTGGATTGTTGGTTTGGTAGTTCTAGTTTGATCTTTGGAATGTTGGTTTGGTAGTTTTAGTTTGATCTTGGGATTGTTGGTTTGGTAGTTCTATATTGATCTTTGAATTGTTGGTTTGGTAGTTCTAGTTTGATCTTTGGATTGTTGGTTTGGTAGTTATAATTTGATCTTTGGATTGTTTGTTTGGTAGTTTTAGTTTGATCTTGGGATTGTTGGTTTGGTAGTTCTATATTGATCTTTGAATTGTTGGTTTGGTAGTTCTAGTTTGATCTTTGAATTAATGGATTAGTTTTCTAGATTGATCTTCGGATTGTTTGATTGGTATTATTTCTAGTTTGTATGTATTACCTATTGAAGATGACATATTGTTATACGAACTTTAATGTCATACACTGCTTCAAAACACTGCATAGCATAGACCACAAGTAAATGTTTTTTTCTATTTTTTCAGAGGACTGAAAGAAAACTACTTGCCACGACATTGCCACTACCGCATCTCTAGACGTTAAAACGTTAAACGTGACTGGTAAGTTGTTTACTATACATGTACCTCAGTGTTAGACATTAGACATTTTTATTGGAGTATTATGTGTCTTTATTCAAATTCATATTTCATATTGTGATTTATAATGTTTTTTCTTGTTACAAAATTGGTAATGTAGGTATATGTATATCTGATATCTAAGTATTACACTTTATTCTGTTATAATCATATGTGTTCAAAGAGGATTTTAGAGAAATCGGATAATGCTTGCGATAAAGCGTTATGAAAATGTGTCTGCAATCTTGTTCATTGAGAAATATAGGAATTTTATTTTGAAAAGAAGGAACTTTACCAGTATTTTACAAGTTGTTACATTGATTTCAACAGTTAATTAAAAGTTAAGATAGTTCTTCAAAGTTAAGATATTTTCTCAATAAATGGAACAGCTTGCAGCCAGTATCGGTCATCTAAATGACGTTTTGATTGTGATTGCAATTATATTAATGTGACGATCATTATTCAAGATTCAGAGACCTATGTAAGGTTTATTTTGTGGAAATTTAGAAATACAAATGCAAACATAGCAGGCTAATCACGCCGATAGCGAGAACAATTAAATGTCCTTTTTATAATTGTATGCACGATATTGCTGATTTTGATGGAGAATATTTTCACATTCTATCAGTTTTCAAAAGGGATCCAAAGTGCATCTGTTGCTGCCGATCTGATTTTGTATTATTTTCACGTTTCATTTACAGAAGGGTTATTTATTAAAGGGTTGTTGTCCGTTTCATTTATATCGATCGTATTTTGCTTTAATAATATTTTCCTATTGGAAACTAATTTTTTACATCTTATTTATCAGACAAAACCTAAAAATAAATACTCTATGTGTTCAGCTACTAATTCAACGTTTCCCTATAGAATAACAAATCTGGTCACTTTATGACCAAAGTCTATGACATTTGTGACTACTGTATTCTTTCCTTGAAAGTAACATACCAACTTCCAATATGCTGGCAGGATATACATATAACGGTTGTGCCACTAGTCAAGTCCATATTCCCCGAGACCAACAAAATACTTATGAAGAACATATGCATCTTGTTGTCGTTTTAGAGGTTGATGATGTCATCTCTTTTGAATTATTTTTTTGTACATAATTAAATGTCACCTTCATTTCCAGACCTACATGCTGAGATGAGCATTGAGGATATTTCCGAAGTGTCACGCGATACGAACGCGGGATGCATTCCCCGGTTGTCCCGTCCCCTCGGGCCCTTGGAGACAATGTACCATCTCTACCACCAGCGAGGTATGGACCTCATAGTCCAGCTCATGTCTTTAAAAACGAATGTGCCTGTAACACAACTCATTGTCAGACAAGCGCTTGTATTTCTAATGAAGAAGCATCCCATCTTGCGAATGTGCATCAAGAGAAGTGACAGAGATCATGTTCAATACAATTTTCTAGAAATGGATAAATGTGCAATGGATCTACGAGTGACAGAGAATACAAACCATGAGGAGATCCTAGCCGAAGCCTTACTTCTATCATTTGATTATGAGAGTGGACCACTCTGGAGAATGGTTTTTGTTGAGCCAGATGTTAAATTGTGTGCACACTTACCTAATTCCAATCTTAATCACAGTTTAGTGTTTGCATTCAGCTGTCACCATGCCATTGCGGATGGTATATACCTACAGAAAATATATATGGATTTCATAGAAATGATTCACCTTATTCAAAATGGACGTTTCAATGCATTATCCTCAATGAAAAAGTCACTGTTTCTGCCACCTATTGAAAAGATTTTACCAGTAATATTTCCTTACGGCAGAGAAGAACGCCGTCACAGACTAAGGCGACATAGTGAGCTATTTAGGTCAACTGAGACTGACCCCAATATGTCAAAGACACGCTCATTCGGAGGAAAGGCTATTGAAGCACTGGACGTTTATCACAAAAGATTTCATTCTGAAATTGCCAATCTTAGCAGTGCAAAAAGACAATCCACGGGAGTAATTAGATTTAGTTTTACAGAGGGACATTCCAGGACCTTTTTACTTAGCAATAAGGAGAATCATGTGACTGTGACGTCATCTTGTGTCACAGCAGCCTGCTTGTCTCTAGCCCGGTTGTTGGAGCCGAACATCCCTGATGATGTTGACTACCTAGCAGTTCCTGTGGAGATCATGGTCAACCTAAGGCGCTACGTCACAGATCAAACAATGTTCGAGAACTACCCCGGATGTGCCGCAATTCATATTCCTTTAACCATTTCCGTCCCGTTGCGATGCACGCATAATGTATCCTCAACGATTTTTTGGAATCTTTCCCAACAATGTTCAGAAAAAATCTCCGATATTGTGTCATCAGGAAAACCTATAGAAATAATGAAAGAGGAAGCAGAGAATGAACTAAACGCGCAGCCAGTTAAGGGGAAATCTCCTTTTGTGATATGTCTTACAAACTTGTCCAGGGTCGACGACATGGTTAAACCGGAACTAAAGAAGAACTTCCGGTTGGCATCATTCCCGAGTCTGACGAGGATTGCTGTGGACGATATGCCGATATTTTTCATCAATGTGTTCACTCTCAATAAGGAGCTAAACGTAAATGTTGGTTACTGTGCAAGCTACACCTCCAGGCAGACAGCGACCCGGTATTCCTGGCTATACAGTGACGTCATCTGTCAACACAGCAAGCTGTGATTAAAGACTTGTATATATTGTCATCGTTTTTTCTTTCTTTTCACAAAATATGAAATTTAGTTAAATGCTTATCGATTGTCGATTTGATACATGACGTCACACTACCCCAATTGGTACAACTAACGATCCAGGTCTTTTACCTGGAATGTTTCTTGATTCTTGACAAAAAATACCCATGGTGGTTAATTTTCGAGATAAACTCGAAGTGAGATTTCCTCTGTTTTTCGACCATGATTAGAATCCTATCCAAATTGGTACACCAGGCTATGAAACTTGTTTTTATTTCTCCTAGTTGATGTGCCGATAGCAACATAATATATCAGTTTTATAAATACTAAACGGAACTACAAATTCATATATACACTTGTATACTATCCGGTTATAAGAGCCCGGAATCAAAATTGCAACATGCCTTTAATTAACCCCTTCAAAATCGATGTTGCTTTTTTTAGTTTTATTACATGTTTAATTTGAAGTCATCGTGTACTTTTAAAATGTCGCTAAAAACGAAATTTTGGTTGAAATGCTGATAAATATCTCTTTTGTTATAACATCAAGAGATCTTTAAAGTATCATTCCAACCATTTTATGACCGTGTACCAATTAAGGTAGTGTACAAATTGTGGTAGCGTGACGTTCGTAATGGACTGTATGACTACATATATATCATATTAGATAATTATCTTTTTTCCAACAAGAGAAAGAAACTGTCAAAACAACTGTAACATCACGTTTGAATTGAGATCGCAATGAATTCGAATCAACGGTGAAAAGCCATATAAGGTAAAAGAGTTATTGCAAATCAATCTCCTATTCACAGATGTGAAATATCATGACATTTCGAAACTAAAACTTACTCTACTTACAGAGTTTCAAGACGTTCATCTACAGACAGGTAAAATGTAATTTTTCAGAAAGTTTTAATAAATCAGATTTCGATGTTAAGCCAATTGAACTTTTAACCAAAGCCATGGTTAATATTGAGAGTTCTCGAGACTTATTTCCACTCCTACCGCTAATATGTTCTTTGGAGGGTTTTATCACCCATTTATGATCCAAACTACATATCGCTTCCTCACGCCTGGCAAGGAATTGGCATACGGGCATCTGAACAATTAATGACTCCTGTTTCTTCAGAAACTGTCAATCATATAACAGTAACGTTAATGTCAACATATGAACACATTCCTTAGGAAAGGATGAATCGAAGGTTTATGGACTTTGAAACATTCCCACAGCGTCGGCACGAAAGGCCTAAATCCGATTAAGAGCTACCAATTTTTTTGAAGTGCAAATCCTAAACATAGTTTCAAGCTTACAGGGTATGTGTATAGTATGTCGCTCCCCTTTTCGGGGCAGATACTTATGCCATAAGAGTTCATCTCTCTTCAGATTATTGTTCAATTTCTTGTATCTTCTACTTCCTTGGATTGTTGGTTGTCCTTACTTCCTTTAAAGCCCCTTTTCAAAAGCTGTTTTCTTTTTCGAATCTTGAGCGATTATTTGCTGTTTACGGCTGCAGAGTTTTCGGAGGATTATTTAATCCAATAATGAACGGGTCTTGGTAGCGTGCATCGAGTACAAGCAAAGGCGTTCACTGCTTCATGGATTGCAGTTCTGAATTCAACATATATATATATATTCCATGTGTCTGCATCAGTGAGTTTCTAAAGATAAATGCCTCTACGCTGGAGTGTTTGAAGCATCACAAGTCCATGGTTGCCGATTCCAAGTTGAAGTAGGGTTTACACACCAGGGCACGTGGGTGGTAAAGAGCTGATCAAGCACCTCATCACCTCTAGTTAGTCTGTTCATCATCTGGTGTGTGACATATTGGATAATATGTTTATACATCAAATAGTTTCTCCCTCGATTTTGATGCTGGAGAAGTTGGCTATTATATTCGCCCATGGGGCTAGAAATTAAGTCTCAGTAGACCAATGGATGGCCATACTGAAGTGCAAACTCAGATTGGGACAGGTATTGATTGTTACATCATTGGTTTGTGTGAGAAAATTACGTCGTTTTCTCAAAAATTGATGATGTTACTCTCACAAACAAGTGATGTAACAATCAATACCTGCTCACAAGAGAAGATAACTCTGCAATATGCAAAGACGGAATAAATATTGCTACATTGTAGACATGAATAGATCTATTATTTAATTTAAGATGTGTAATTAAATCTATGAACCTTGTTACAATTGAAGACGTTGGATTAAATCTATGAACCTCTATACATTTTAGATAAATGTATCAATCTATTAACTTATTATTACAAACATCATTGAATCAATGAACCTTGTTACAATTATCAATAAATCTATGAACTTTGTTACAATTGTAGAAGTGTTATTAAATCTATGAACCTTGATACATTGTAGATACATGTATCAATCTATTAACCTATTAATTACAAACATTATTGAATCTATGAACCTTGCTACAGTTATCATTAAATCTATGAACCTTGTTACAATTGAAGACGTTGGATTAAATTTATAAATTTGTTGGAATTAAAAACTTGTCATTAAATGTATAAAACTTTCTGTAACTGTTGTTTAATCTACCAAATTTACGACAATTGAAGGCATGTCCTTAAATCTACATACATGTTGCAAAAGAACTATCATTTAACCCATGAACCCTGCACAGATGCCGTTCAAAAAGGTTAGTTAAGAATAAATAAGAGACACCATGATGATGAGAATAATAGTTTTATCAATGCACCCTTCCTCCACACACTGGTTATACATACAATGTATACATATCAGCAGTAAGTTATGTATAGTCTAATAACACAGGCACTCCAGACGTTGTTTTGATATTTCTCTATAAGCATTTCTACTAACTCAAAATGACTGATAAAATGTGGTACGGAATAAGGAATGCTAGTTAAAATTTCCACCCAAAATGTTTCATGACAAAAAAAGAGATGTAAGCATTTTAAAAGAGCACCTTATCCGAGACAGAAATAGAAAATATCTATAAACAATACAAGTGAAACTGCTACAACAACTTAAAAATAGTTAAGGAGCTGAAAGTATCAAAACTGCTACAAAACATCTATAAAATAATTATGAATATTCTCAAAGAACACTGCTAATTTTACATTAAACTTTTGCAAAAAAGAGACTACTTTCAATATGAAAATAGAAATCCATCAAGTTGTACTTGAATTGGTTTTTTTTTTACTTGATATGAAAACATAATTGTAACACTAAATTAAAGATATCTTCAATTCCCTGTATGATAGAATGAACCAAACTCTGACTGGTCCTTCCTCAGCTTTAAGTATACATGTGAATCATGTATAACATAAAAGGTTCGTTGTGTATAAACATTCAGGGTTTTTGGGGTTGCTGTTAAACTACGAAAAATAAATACAACAAATTTGAATGATATATGTGTCTACTGTTTGTTAATATAGGATATACACAAAAGTGTGTATCACAAAACGATCAAAATGGCTTCAAACCATGAAGTACCCACGAACATTTCCTGTTATACAGTATATATTTATTTCCCCAACATTTATATCTTTTTTGCAGTTAGGATGTATTTCAAATTTGGCAAAAAAAGTCAATGCGTTCAAAGACTGACAAACAGGTATATAACCTACTTTCATACAATTATCTGTGACACCAGAATACAAAGGCAACATAAAATGGTGACATCCAATCAAAGGTTCACAAACAATATTAGTTATAGATCACCGGTCATACTGTTTAGGAAAATGTAAAAACAGAAAGTTCAATGAATTTCATTGCATATACAGTTCACTGGTGTTGCAGGATTGACTTGATTTTATTATCAAAATCGTTCAAGATTTGAAAAATTTTATAATCAATAAATTTCATCAACCCCTGTATACATATGCAAATTAAGATGCAGTTTTATATTCAAATCTAGAAATCAAGTGTTTCTAAATAAAGCTTTTGATTTATTCTGACATTACTGGATTTCAAAAGAAATTCAAATCATCATCCTTACTTATGACTTATCAGATCCTCTGTTGAAATTGAATAATATTTTTAAGACTGACAAATTCTAAAGCAACCGAGATTGCTGACCTGATTTCTTGAGTTGTTAACAATTCGTAAATTCAAATATGCTGCATGAACGCAAACACGCATAAACTGTGAAAGTCATGGTCAATTGTTGACATTTTCAATCTGTATAGACAGAAATGATGGATAAGAAAATAGAAAAATAATCAATAAAAACATCACTAAAATCGTTTCTTCTATTTATAAAATATTATTTTTCACTCCAGTGATAATTTGTAAAAAATAATTATCTATAATTAAGAAATCATGTAAACATTCATTTGTTTATTTAACAGCTGTGGACAAACAATTTAAGACCAGAATGAAAATGAAACAGATTTCTACCATCAGTAACAAGTAATAAATCATTTTAGAAATGGGTGACCAAGTGGGCAGTGGATAGCGTACTCGGCTTTCACCCATCCTCGATATTCCAGGGGTTAGGCTAACTCTCGCTCTCTGCACCCCTGGAATATGTCATGGCAAATTTAAGGCTAAGTGTGCACCACCTTGTTAATGAGTCAACAACACTACTTTGATCCTTTCATGTACATCAAAAGAATCTTTTAGTGGTGTAACAGTAAAATATTCTGGCTTTGAGGTTGGGTGTCGCTCCACTGTAATCTTAAAAGGACAGGTATCAGCCTGCAATTGGTCAGGTTTTTTCACCCGAGACCAATCAAATAGCTAGCAGCGGGCCTTTAATTTTGCTATGATATATGCCAGGGGTGCAGAGAGCGAAAGTGAGTGTAACCCCTGGAGTATAGAGGATGGCTTTCACCAAGTCAGCCAGGGTACAATGCCAGATACTGGCGGCAGGATTGTGGTTTTTCTACAGGTACTCTGGCTTTCCTTAACCACCAAAACCTGGCACATCCTTTAATGACCATAGCTGTTAATAGTACTTAAAACACACAAAATAAACAATGCCCCAGTCAGATGTGAATAGGTAAGAAGTCATCTGCCCGACTGTGTGGGTTTCTCTAGATACTCCGATTTCCTCCCTTATTAAAACACCTTGCACCATCTTGGCCAACAAGAGCGGTTAAAATAAGTTGACAGAACTTATTTCACAATTGTTGTAAAATAAATAAACTTTAACTAATTAAAATAAATGCAATATAAAATCTTTGAATGGGAATTTTGATACAGAACTATATAAAGTTAAACAAAAAAACGTATCTTTACACTGAATGACTTGAGATTATGCCAAATTCATATGATAATGATTTCATGTTTCTGTCAGTTAACAACGATAGATAAGATCTATAACACAAAGGGAGCCTACATCTGATCTGTGCTATGTTTTACAAATAACGTATTCAATAGTTCAGCTCATCCACCTCCTTAAAGCAACTTTCTAAGACAAAAGTCATATCCAGAAACTAAAATATTCCTGTTTAAGTAAGATCAAAATCAAAATTAATGCAAAACTGATTTTGGAGATACAAATAACGAATTCAATAATTCAGCTGACACCCACCTTCTTAAAGCATATTTTTAAGACAAGAGTCATATCCAGAAAGTAAAATGCTTCCTGTTATAACAGGATCAAAATCAAAATCAAATGCATTGGTTTATTGACCAAAAATGTCATTCAGATCTATTTAAATAAACTTTTTCAATGTCATGGATATTTAAATCGTTTTATACAGAAGTCCATATCGTTATTTTTAAAATGAGCTTCTAAAACTTGCAATATCTTTTACAAGATAAACATCTTTTTGCGACTGACAGACCAATCTTTTACGATACTGTCCTGATTTCTTTCAGACATGCAGTTGAACAGGATAATCTTAATCACACAACTGTACAAGCTTTTAAATTTGCTTGTTACGATATCTTGAGTTTGACAACAACATGAAGTCAACGTATATCATTCCGGAATATAGACACGGTCCATTAGAAGCTGCACATGTGTAAACAATAATTTGGTATGTATTTGCATTTTATGTCAGGAACTTGCTACACATGTATAATATTTGATGCAAATATCTAAAGATTTATATTATGGCACAAATCTATGTTATGTTATACGTACACAGTACATTAATATTTTACAGACAAACATTCTGCAAAAAACTTCTTACATCTGCAATGAAAATATTTTATAGAGAGGCATCATACGTGGCCGTATAAAATGTGCAAATGTAAACATACCTCTTGGAAATGAACACATCTTTGGCACACACAAAAAAAAGTTGTGTACTAGTTTCTTTATGCATAGAATACAAGAGGCCCAGAGGGCCTGTATTGCTCACCTGGATATCTAAGCAATCATGGCAAAATATTCTCCAAATGAGATCCAAGGGAATATGCCGGACCCCAAGGCCAATCCTTGTAGCATATCTGTATTAGATTTTTCATGCCAAGCAATTTTATGTATGGTTATGGGGTGGGGATCTCAACTGTTTCCAAGCTGTGACTCAGAAACTAGGGTTGTGGCCAGACGCCAGGATCAATTCTAATATCATGACTGCTTCGTCTCTTTTTGCCCAGCATTTGTATATATAGTCTTGGGGTGGGGATCTCAACCGTTTCAAAGTTATGACCCGAGGGTGGGGTAGTCCCCAAGGCCATCCTGGAAGCATATGTGCATTCATCTCTTTATACTCAGCAATTGTATATATAGTTATAGGGTGGGGATCTCAACTGTTTCCAAGCTGTGACCAAGAAACTAGGTCCCTAGGGGCTCAGTCAGACCCCAGGGTCTATTCTAATATCATGACTGCATTCTTCTCTCCCTGCATTTGTATATATAGTTTTGGGGTGGGGATCTCAACCGTTTTAAAGTTATGGTCTAAATATAGCAATTCTTACTATAAAGGATCACATAGCTTTTCTAGACAATTAATACTATTGTTTAGAAGTCACATGGTGATTTTTTTTTCTATTGTAAAAGTTGTATTCCCACAAAACCCCCCCAAAAAAACACGTTTTTAGCTAAAACGTTTTTTCACTTCATGGCACTGTCATTTAATAACCCTACCAGATTCAGAAAGCATTCATATAGACTGTAAATGCCATGGCCCACTTAAGGCATTCATATAGACTGTACATATAGATTGGAAATGCCATGTCTTACAGAATGAGAGCTTCTATTTCAGTACTATTTGTTCGTGAGGGAGGAAATGTTATAAGACATATTTAGATGGTAAGGTAATCGTACCATCTCCCCTATTTTACTAATATTAGTTTACTAGGTTTCAGGTTACTACATTAGCCTGGTGTACAATCCACCTCCGATACTTTGAACCCATATCAGGGCACACAGTGGATAGCGCACTTGCCTTTCACCAAGATGGCTGGGGTTCAATATCCCAATCAAATGTGTAAAGGTACTGTATAGCCGTTATATTTCACAGGGTTTTTAATTTTGCTATCTTCGCACTTTGACTAATATCCATGAATTCTAAACACCAGCGAAATTATCCCATTTTTAGCGATGAAACCATTAGTGAGTTGTGTTACATTTACTGTGTGATGTAAACACCTATAATCAATTCAGTATTTAATGTGGATGGAGTGTTTTTATATTATGGCAGTCCTGACATGATTTATATACATGTACAGGAAAGTACATTACACAAATTTGACTTGTCTGGGGGATTTCATTTGCTTTCTTGTCAGTAACATTTAATCCTGACAATCACCACAGAGTAAAAATCTAGTTTGTTACTATTTCAAACCTTGTACGCAACATTGCAATTTGGATTATCTAGAGGATTTGAAATGCAACAGTAGATATTTTGTTTTATTGCAAAGAACATCAGACTACACTACATAGTTTGATTTTTAATTATCAATTGATGTTTTGCTTAAACATTTACAGTAGAAGATCAAATGACCCAGCAAAATGGTCCACAGACAAACATTGGTACATGATATGGAGTGCTGACACAGAATAAACCATACCTCTTTTCAACTGTTCTTAATTTGGAAGGAGACCTGACTTTTCATCATAATTTTTAACTTTTGAGATCTGCAGAGCTCCCTTTACTGACCCTAGCTATAAATGACTCCAGTTGCCAATGGGATGTAATACAATACCAACTCAAAAGCCCTATATAGAATTAAATTATTGCATATACATGTATACTATTTTTTGTCAAGTAGCATTATAGTAAATATTTTTTTAAGATATTTTCAGAACTACCCACATAATAAGTTTGAAATGTTAGCAATTATGGTGAAAATTAAGTTGGTGTGTGGGATGTCAATAAGTTGGTAATAAAGATTTAATGCCATTTTTTGTTGAACTGACCAATGAAACATTGCACATGCATTTGAACCAAAGATGCTTATAATTACCTTGTTGATAAAATACCATAAATATTGCATTAACTTATTGATGTAATACACACATCATATATTAAAGCGATGCATATATTGAATAATTTAATAATAAAAATATATTTCATCAAACAAAAGAAATGAAAAAAACCCCCACATATTTACATATAGGAAAATCCAAGTAATGATTAAACCACTTTAAACACTGTTGTACAATGTAACATTACCACTACAAACACTGTTGTACAATGTAACATTACCACTACAAACACTGTTGTACTACATAAATGTAGCATTACCACTTCAAACATTGTTGTACAAATGTATAAGAGGCCCAATGGGCCTGCATCGCTCACCTGGTAAAAATCTCACACTTGTAATCCTAAAAGTGGATTAAAATAGAGCTACAGGCAGAATATCGGTGTTTAATTCATAAGAACCTATTAAAAGATTTAATCATATGACGCCTGTGACCTTGAATGTCGAACAAGTCATTTGAAGATTTTAAGACATTTGACCCCCGTGACCTTGAAAGTGGGTCAAAGGCATTCATTTGAACAAACTTGATAGCCCTTCATCTCAGCATGCTTCTGGCCAAATATCAACACCCTAGGCCTTTTGTAATTGAGAAGAAGTTGTTTAAAGTAAAATATTAACGCCGGACGGACGAGGGACGCCGCAACGACGGCATAAGCTCACTTGGCCCTTCGGGCCAGGTGAGCTAATAATATATTCAAGTGTCTACATTATGTAAAATATAGCCCAGGTGAGAACAAGAAGAAAAACATCACTAATGAAACGTTATTGCCATGATATAAGCCATATCTAAATATCTAAATGGAATTTGTATGAATGTGTTATGCTTGACTGCATACAAATTCTGTTAGTATGGTTTCAGGGTTTTTATCTGAAGTGTAGGATAAAGCTAACACTAGAGTGTATTTATATATTTTTGGTTTGTTTGCTAAAACTGGACAGTTTATAACTTTGGTCATTATACATACATCTATATTGGACTGCTGTAGTATGTGTGTAACCCACAAATCTATGTAAAACACATGTAAAATTGTATTTATGTGAAGTATTAATTCAGTTTAACATCTTTGGAATGAAGGGCAAACTTTATATAATATTTGTTAGACCTGTATTTTTTCTATAAAGTAGAGATTACTTATCCTATACTGCCCAGTAACTACGTATATTATACCTTTCCTGTACATGTAACAATAGCACAAAATTGCCCTGGTATATCAACTGTGTACAGGTATTTATGTACATTTAATTCAACATTTCTACATTTTGAAGAATCTTACAATAGTCTGAACTAGGGCTGTCCATGGCCAGACACTTATTTTTTTTTAGAACAAATTCCAGATGGACAAATTTTCTGGACTAAAGAAACAGGATTGACTATGATCCTTTAATAAGAAATAGGAAAGGCCACAGACCTTGTTAGGTGACATTTGAATTGTTAAAATCAGAACAAGGTTCCACAGCAGATATAGGATAAGAGATACAAAGTTGTACCTGTTTTCAGAGATCTGTTTCAGGCAGAAAAACTACCAACGACACAAAAAAAAGATACTTGGTTATGCAACACTAAAAGGGTCACCTTCAAACATCAATTGCATAAATTTATATAAATTCTATTATTGGTATAGCCAACAGCACCACTTCAGCAGAACATTCCAATATTTTGATTCTAGAAAAATGTTTATAATAATATTCGAACATCCAGCTTAAATGACTTATACATGTGGTCCTAATAATTTCTATATAATTTGTTAGAGATTCATTTCTGAAGGATAGGAAAACTGATTTGTAACTAACTGGATAGGGGAGGTAACTCACTAATGGCAAGGAAATAGGAAACAGCACAATCAAGGATCACAACAGAAAAAAGAGGAGTAAAGTTAATAATAAACAAAATTAAAGCTGCAAGATCTGTAAAAATAACAGAAGTAAACACAACAAATAAAATGAAGTACATTGTAGATTTTTTCTGATATTTACAACTAAGGAAGGCTAATGAGAAACAATATCACCACACACACAGACCGAACACCCTGGTTTTCTGTATTACAGAGCAAAATGCTTGTTACAAGCTAAAGATGGTCCAACAAATTATGTACACAACCTTGTTATGCTCTTTGTAACTCTTTGTAAAATAAATTAATTGGTATAAAGATGTACAATCAATTGCAAGCTTTAGCAAGAGCATTTTAATTTCATAAATCTTGTATAGATTTTAACATTTATTCAGGAAAATACCACTTCAAATACAAATGTGCGAAGTATATTGTTATTATTCTGAGATATTCATTTTGTTTATGGAACAAGGAATATTTTCTCAATAATGTTGAGTCATTTTCTCAGATTGTACAAACTACTTAAAGGTCATTGATTTATATCATACGACAAAAATCCTCTCTATATAGGTCAAAGGTCATTAACTTGTATCATAAGAGATAAACCCTCTCTCAAAGGTCAAATGTCATCAACTTAAATCATAAGTGATAAATCCTCTCTATAAAGGTTAAAGGTCATTATTTCATATCATTAGATGAATCCTCTCTGCATAAGTCAAAGGTCATTAACTTAAATCATTAGTGATATTTCATCTCTACATAGGTCAAAGGTCATTAACTTTAAATCATTAGTGATAAATCGTCTCTACATAGGTCAAATGTCATTAACTTATATCATTAGTGATAAATCATCTCTACATAGTTCAAAAGTCATCCTTAGTGATGAATTCTCTCTACAAAGGTCATAACTTATTATCCTTCTCTTTATAAATGAAAGGATATTTTAAAATTTGCATTATGTTGCTCATATCACATACCTACACTGTTAACCCCGTGTACTTAGGAAATCGTAGAAAATTAGGACAAAATAAATACAATATGATAAATTCTGTACGTTTTGAATCCGTACAAGCTTTGTACAGGTGAGATAGTTCAGCAATAGTATCAGTGTGGTGTGTGCTAGGATCCTTCAGATGAGCTTTGTCTTAGTAATGGCTGCCCTAGGTCAAACTGACCACTCACACTGTCCTCCTCCATAAGACCAACCTCTACACTAGACACAGACTTGAGTGGCGAGGAGCTACTAGATTTACAACTGACGGTGTCTGTGTCCGTGTCTGGTGGTAGGATATGGTCAGTATCTTTGGGGTCAATTCGGGACAGCTGACTCTCCATTTGAACCAATCCGTTGGACAGACTAGTAGATGAAGGGCTCACCGGAGGCCAGTCGGGACAGCCATCAATTTCCTCTTCAATCTCAGCATAGCGGTGAACTCCCAAAATAAGCCACTTTTGAGCGTAATAATTGCATTTCTTTCGTACAAATATGCTATCAAGCACAAACATCTAGAAAAAAAATAAAGAAAAATTTGCCAAAACATGCAACAGACATGTATCTTTATATCAATATGAGCAAATATTGAAAACTAAATTCCATAGATACCGTAAAGCTGAATGCGAGTTAGAGTCATTTTTCCTCCTGATATTAACAACATTTACCTATAAAACTTCAACCATGTGACAGGGATCCTACATCTTCTACATCCTTGTCTTACAGACAAATTGAGTCTGGTAATATTTGATCTATTACTTTTATAGATATTGAGGATACAAGAAACATATTGACATTGTGACCTGGCTGTTTTAGTTAGAAGGATTTAGACAACTCACCTCGAGCAGTATGGACAGGAGAAGATTAGCTGCAGCCATGCCCACGTACAGTAGCCGATAAGGGATGGAGTCTGGCGGCATTAACTACAACAAACAAGAGGCCCATGGGCCTTAACGGTCACCTGATATATTTATACAGAGAGTTGATTTTTGTTTTTAACATGAACAGAAATATTATTCTAAGTGACAAAAAACAATAAAACCACCTTATTCAATATCTATAGCCGATAAGGGATGGAGTCTGGCCGCATTAACTACAACAAACAAGAGGCCCATGGGCCTTAACGGTCACCTGATATATTTATACAGAGAGTTGATTTTTGTTTTTAACATGAACAGAAATATTATTCTAAGTGACAAAAAACAATAAAACCACCTTATTCAATATCTATCATGCAGATTTAAGACTGAAAAGTATTTAAAACTAGCACCTTTGATTCTAAACAAGGAAAATGAAGAAATTTTATTTCAGCACACAGACTCTATTGGGCCCCACCCTACAGCCCTTGGAGGTAGGGATGGCTCAAAATTTACAAAGTATCAACTGTCAACTTAGGGTTATAATTCCAATCAAGTTATCAACATGTAATATTCAAAGTATCATTTGCCATTATAAACCATAACAAATTTTTAACAAATGTTAGTCCAAAATGTGATTTCCATATGTAAACTATAGTAAAGTTTACCCCCTCCCCAGGGGGAAACGTGAGATCCCAGGGTCCAGAAATTCACAATTTTAGTAAAGCACCTTAAGACCCTTCTATCTATGAAGAGTATTTGATTCTACCATATCTGGGTCTTGAGAAGAAGATTTTTGAAATTTCAGTCAATTCAACCCTTTTTGGCCCCACCCATCAGCCCCGGGGAGTCAGTCAGGGCTGATATGTGCATACTATCAAACTGCTACCCAATGCTGATAAGGCTAACCTAAATTGAATTACTTCCAATGGCAATTAAACAATTGTTGGTCCAAAATGTGATTTCCCTATATAAACTATAGTAAAGTTTACCCCCTCCCCAGGGGGAAACGTGAGATCCCAGGGTCCAGAAATTCACAATTTTAGTAAAGCACCTTAAGACCCTTCTATCTATGAAGAGTATTTGATTCTACCATATCTGGATCTTGAGATGAAAAGATTTTTGATTTTTTTTTGTCAATTTTACCATTTTTTGGCCCGCCCCTCAGGCCCCTGGGGGCTGGGGACCATATAATTCACAATTTTAGTTGACCATTGGCCATGGAAGGTTTCTGCAAAATTTCACTGAAATTGGTTTAGGGGTTTTGGAGAAGAAGTCGAAAATGTAAATTGTTTACGGACGCACGCCGGAGGCCGGCAGACAAAAGGCGATCGCAATAGGTCACTTGAGACTTTGTCTCAGGTGACCTAAAAAGTACAAATCTGTCTAAACGCACCAACTCTTAAAATCTATTTATTTTACAATTTTATAAACAAATTTTAAAATTAAATCAGCCATTCTTATTGAATGACCATTACAACAGATTTTCTTTCATTATTATGATAATAATTCTCTGGCTTCAAAAAGTAATTGTTAAAATATGGCAAAATTCAAAGAAGCAGAAGTTGTTTTTATATATTTTTGCTTTACCAAAATAGATCATTACATACCATGTCAACACAAACTGACTTTCCCTCAGAACTTACCTCAAGGAATTCTAGAGCTCCCTCTGGTGGGTAAATTGTGAGCCACATTGTCACCAAGGTACATGCAATGATGTTCCCCAAAAACAAATCTGGAAAGAAATCCCACAACGCTTCATGTATCATACCATGTACCTCATAACATTTGAGTAAACTTAGTGTTGGTCAGTTGGGAGTACAGAAATTCACAGCAATACCAGGTAACTTAATAAAACAATATACCAGTGTTTATTATTTTATCACATTACTGCCATGCATTTTACCACTTCTAGCTCATATTCCTTTTTCTGATGATAATTTGATACTTGTTTATCCCACTTTAAATACTACCCATAAATTCTGTATCGATGCAATAGCTAAACCTTCTATATGATAAACTGATTATCAAAAAATCATCTAATAATTATTGGGTTGATGAAACATCACACTTCCATTAAATAATGTTTATATATAATAAAACAAGAGGCCCAATGGGCCTGCATCGCTCACCTGATATTGATCTCACAATTGTTACCTTAAAAGTGGACTAACATAAAGCTACAGGCAAAATATCAATGTATTGACTTAAAGTAATTCAGAAGAATCTGTGAAATGATTAAAACACATTTGCCCCCTGTGACCTTGAAAGTCAAACATGGACATTAAGTTGCAAAACATTATAGCCATTCATCCCAGAATGGACTTGCCAAATATCACCACCCTATACCTTTTGTTTATTGAGAAGATGACTTTTACTTGAGAAGATTTATGTACTATGGACCCGATGTGACCAGTGTGTCAAGGTCATTCACATGAACAAGCAATCATCCTTGTACCCTTTAGTTATTCAGAAGAGATTGTTTAAAAATTTCAACACATTTGATCCCTGTGACCTTGAATATGGGCAAAGGTCTCTATGACCTTGAATATGGGCAAAGGTCTTTCATTTAAACAAACAAACTTGGTAGCCCTTCATCCCTGCATGCTACAGGCAAAAAGCATCATCCTGTTCCTCTTGATCATACAGAAGAAGTCGTTTAAAGGTTTTTAAGAGAATTGACCCCTGTGACCTTGAAAATGAGTAAAGGTCATTAGAACAGACTTGGTAGCCCTTCATCCCCACCTGCTACTGGCCAAATATTATCAACCTGGAGCTTTTGGTAATTCAGAAAAAGTTGTTTAAAGGTTTTTAAGACAAATGATCCCTGTGACCTTGAATATGGACGAAGGTCATTCATTTGAACAAACTTGGTAGCCCTTCATCTCAACATCCTTCTGGCCAAATATCATCACCCTTGACTGTTTGGTTATACAGAAAAAGTCATTTAAAGGTTTCTAAGACAAGTGACCCCTGTGACCTTGAATATGGGCAAAGTCAAACTTGGACGCCCTTGATCCCCACATGCTACTGGCAATAATATCATCACCCTAGAGCTTTTGGTTATTCAGAAGAAGTCGTTTAAAAGGTTTTCAACATATTTGACCCATGTGACCTTGAAAATGGGCAAAGGTCATTCATTTGAACAAACTTGGAAGCCCTTTATCCCTGCATGCTACTGGCCAAATATCATCATATTTGCCCTTCTGGTAATTTAGAAGAGATTATTTAAAGATTTTAACATATCTGACCCCTGTGACCTCGAAAATTGGCAAAGGTCATTCATTTGAACAATTTGGTAGCCCTTCATCCCAGCATGTTACTGGCCGAATATCATCAGCCTGGGCCTCTTGGTTATTCAGAAGAAGTTGTTTAAAGTAAAAGGTTGACCCCGGACAGACGACGGACGCCGCACCATGGCATAAGCTCACTTGGCCCTTTGGGTCAGGTGAGTCAAAAAAAAAAGAGGTTGAAAGTTTATTAAAACTGATGAAATACTCTTATTGTAAACCATTTGTAACAAATTGTGTAACTTGTTACTTTTGATAATGAGACAGGTGTTCTCAAAATATCACTGCTGAGAGCAGACAATGGTAGCTATACATGAAAATCAGTATGCTAGCAAATATAAATATTTGGTTGCCCTTTACCTTAATATTCTAATGATTGAACAGGCCTAGGTCTACAATGTTTTTATCAATATTCAGCTCTTTGGAAATAATAGCTCCCAAAAAAGTTAAATGTCAAAGGGCACAATGACAGATCGACAATGCCATTCCATAAAACATCCTGTTTAGGACAACTCAACTCACAGTTGGTGAAAAGCCTCTTCCTGTATGGTGGTCCTTTGGCGAACACAATCGCGAGAATGATATACTGGTAGGCAGAGCCGTAGAATACCGCTGTGTTCTCGTAACTGATGTAGTTGTCATCTGGGTTCTCCTCGTAGGGCTTAAACCTGGCCATAGAGTTAATTCACAAAAAGACTTCAAGGTTAGCAGGAGTGAAGGAAGGGGAAAGTCTACAGTTATGTAATCTAGTTTACAAATAATTGTTTTCTCTCTGCAGATACTGTAATATTTCTCCTATATGGAGTCTAGCACAGCAATAATTTTACTGTGACCTACAGAGAAATACAGATGAAATTCAATCTTGCAAAATGTGTTATGAACATGACATTATGTGTATTGCAGTCATATTCTGATACGAACACAATATTATGTATGCTGCAGACATCAAACTATGTGTGGTGAATGTGTGTGTTATAAATTGAGATGTAATTTGTGGTTATTTTTGTTTGTGTTAACAGTGTATACTTTATATGATAAAGTTGTCTATAAACACCTGGAGCTGATTACAACTGGATGGGTGTTCAATCCAGCTAGATAATCGTCAGTGGCCACACACTGATTAACACTTTCACTGTGCCATTTGATTCTGACGACACAATTAAAAGACATTTTTAGCTTCACATGTTGATTCATCATAAAACTCCAGGGCTTTCTCTTGTGACAACATGAATGAAAGGTTCTAGATGGATGTGTTACTCACCACGGCTGTGTCTGTACGTGATAGAAACAGAAGACTTGTACTGACATCTGTATACTGATCTGTATGACTAGGGACAGGATTGGCAGCACACTTGTCAGGCTAAATGGGGGTGGCTCCTTGGCCAGTTTTGGGTGAGCCTCCGTCCTACCAACTGTAACAAAATAACACAGGTAACACTATATGCCATGTGATATAATATCAACCAATGGAAACAGGAGGATGATATCATGTGATGACGTTGGATCAGCCAATGAGTAGGGAAATTATAATAAAGACAAGAGGCCCATGGGCCTTAACGGTCACCTGAGTCCTACAGTACTTATTTTTGTAGTTGAAATATGTACCAATTTGAGTAAAAAATTGTTAAGTATAACGTTAACTTAAATTTGTCAGGACCATGAGCTGATCATTCCTAGACCGATTTTCAGTTAGATAGGCCTATTAGAACTTGCTTTTAAGTTTGAAATAGGTGTTTTCAAAATAGCGACCATGGCAGCCAAATTGTATTTCTGATCGACCCGAACAATAACAAAACGTTTTCAGGACCATGAGTCAATCATTCCTTAAAAGTTTCAGTTCAATCGCCCTAGCAGAATTTGACTTTAAGTTTGAAATAGTTTTTCAAAATGGCAGCCATGTCAGCCATATCGGATTTCCGATCGACCCGAAAAATAACAACACTTTGTCAGGACCATGAGCTGATCATTCCAACAAAGTTTCAGTTCAATCGGCCTCCCAGAATCTGACTTTAAGTTTGAAATAGTTTTTCAAAATGGCGGCTGTGGCGGCCCTATTGGATTTTTGATCGACCCGAAAAATAACAACACTTTGTCAGGACCATGAGTTGATCATTCCTACCAAGTTTCAGTTCAATCAGCCCAGCAGAACTTGACTTTAAGTTTGAAATAGTTTTTCAAAATGGCGGCCGTGGTGGCTTAGGGAATGAAGATAATGATATCGTGTGATATTATCGACCAATGAAAGGAGAGATAATATACAGAAACTTATCTTTTATCAGCTGATAACAGAAAGGAGAATGATATCATGATACAATCAACCAAGGGAGGCATCAACCAATGAGAGGAAGGAGACTTACATCATGTGATGCTATCAGCCAATGAAAAGAAGGAGCATACTTACATGTAATACTGAGTGTGGACACTAAAATCAAATCGACATACAGAAACTCAAAGTCTGTCATGTTGGCCCCAATCTGGAAACAAACATACATATAGGATCTTAAAACGAAAATTTTGTGACGAGTTTCATAAATTTCTTATGAAATGAAAACGAATTTAAGATACTTTTGATCACATAAGTTAGAAAACTTACATTTTGATGGGTTTTAAAGCCAAAATGTAGAGGGCTTAATCAAACGGAGACAGCCATTTTGTTGCGCCATTCACAATTTATGATGTCACGTCATTGTCCATATTATGACGTCACAATCGATTTCTGACTGGCACAGACAACGAAAAACACTCCAGGGTATATTACACTAGTGAAATATGTAAAAATATTACACGGGCGAATTCACTGGATAACAGGCCGATTATGTGATAAAATGTGTTTTTGTCACAGTATAATCCAGCACTGGTATTCAAATATTTTTAATTCTTCATTGTAATTAACAAGTAAAAATTTAAGTTTCATTAATTCTGAAGAGTTTGATATAGACAATGATCTCTAGGGTAGAAATATTTAGATTGTGGAACTCACATGGTCGGATCACAGGAACATTTTGAAAATAAAGAGATATCACAAATCAAACTGTTTAGTTTTTTCAGTCGCCTTTCTGAAACACTACTACTTACCCAGTACAGCAAGCAGACAGAAATAAACTGTGTGAGACTGTAACAGGCCATGTACTTAAATATCCCAAAGGACGTCACTAGGGCGGCTCTTCCCTGACTGTAACACACAATGTAATAACACTTAGAGAAATCAAAACTCTAACAGCCTTGAAGAATGCTGTTTTTGATGGAAATATGGGGAAATTGAAAGGTATAAAGATGTGGAGATACAGATTTGAAGTACCTCTGTTTTCCTTCTCAATAATTTTTCATGTGCTTTGAACACCCCACCCTAAATCAATCATCCAAATATATTGTGTCAGTTGTTCATCTACCTATAATGTAGCTTTCTAACGATGACCAATGCAAAAAAAATATACTAATCAGTTTTTATAAATAACAAAGACTCACGCTATAACAGTGGGCACACATTTGATATTAGGAGTCTTGGACGTGAATGGAGATGCCACAGAAGCCTCCGCCTCAGACAGGGATATCCCAGTGTGTGCTGTCTTCAGAGCCCCACAGTCATTGGCTCCATCTCCACACATAGCCACATAGTATCTGTAACAGAGGTCAGAGGTCAACATAGACCAGGTCAAGGTCAATACATTCAGTAACCAACAAATAGCCATGTATATACATAGTTTCTGTAGCAGGGGTCAGGAAATATTAGTGAAAGGTCAACATAGACCAAGTGAAAGTCAGTACAGTCAGTAACCCACACATAGCTTTGTGGTATCTGTAACAGAGGTCAGGATATATTGGTCAAAAGTCAACACAGGAAAGACAAGATGCCTAATAGGAGAAAGGTCAAGATCAGTTCAGTCAGTACCTACATACATAAAAAGGCTGTTCCTGTAAAAGACGACAAATAGAACAACATAAGTTCAGCATACTAAAGGTCAAGGTCAGCACAGTCATTAGCCTACATACATGTTAACAACCATATAGTACCTCTTGTATTGGTCAAGGTGTTGAGGTCAAATATTTATATAAACATGGCTCATGGTGTTTGGTACTTAACAGTGAGGCAATACTGTCTTTGGTTACCAGTGTGTCATTATCCTGTATACTTACCCAACTTCCTGTAGAACCTCAATAAGCTGTGCCTTCTGACCGGGAGACATTCGAGCAAACACTGCCCCCCTCACTACAATCTACAGCAGATACAGGTGTGCCAATCACATTATAACCAATGTTAAGTGTGTGAAAACAAAATATACATGTAACGGCCATAATTTGAATATGAGTCAATTCTTCAACAAGATAAACATATCTATATTATAACCCTGCCATTATTCTTATCCCCAACAAAATTTATCTACTTATATTGTCTATGGGAATCTGTAAGAATTTTATGACATTTAATTTGGAAAAATATTTTTTAATATGATCACAATTATGATAAGTAAGATCTATTGAAGGAATGTTTTCTACACTGCATGTATCAGTAATGATTTATAACTTCATAAAGACACAGGTATAAATGTGCCCAGGTACATGGCGGTTGGTGTTACCTTGGGTAGAATTTCTGGGAAATGGTGACGAAGGACACTCCAGGACTTTCCTGTGACTGCAAAATGAAACTTGTCATATGGGTCGTTATCTATCTGGATTGTCATGTCCTGAAAACAATAGTAAGACAATTTTATGTAAAGTGTAAATATTCCGCGCACGAGTGAATATATATATATGTCCGTGCAATAAATGAGTGCTTTCTGATTTTTTTTAGAAAAACACAAGTGTGTGGTCTTGCTTTTATCACATACCTTCTGTATTTGGTAGAGATCGATACAAAGATTTTATATACTTTGATTTTTTTTGCAAATACCAGGAACTTTTCAGTTCGCCATGACAAGGGGATTCCCATAAAAAGGAGTTCCGGCTAGTAGGTAAATACAACATTCCGTATTGCACACGTTGTATTTCATGGTCTGAAAATTGCTTGTATTAAATTACTATAACAAGATTCAACAGGTATGTGATAAATTATCAATACCTCACAGTTAGATAGACTGAAATATTTGTTTAGGCTCTTCACAATGTGGCTCTCATTGAGGATACAACATAGGCTATTCCTATCTTCTAAACTGGCCCAAGGTACTAGAGATTACACTGTATTACATGTACCATACCACAGAGTACACATGTACTGTAAACTGGCCAAAGGTACTAGAGAGTACACTGTATTACATGTAACATAAAACAAAGTACACATGTACTGTAAACTGGCCCAAGGTACTAGCGATTACACTGTATTACATGTACCATAAAACAGAGTACACATGTACTGTAAACTGGTCCAAGGTACTAGAGAGTAAACTGTATTACATGTACCATAAAACAGAGTACACATGTACTGTAAACTGGTCCAAGGTACTAGAGAGTACACTGTATTACATGTACCATAAAACAAAGTACACATGTACTGTAAACTGGCCCAAGGTACTAGCGATTACACTGTATTACATGTACCATAACACAGAGTACACATGCACTGTAAACTGGCCCAAGGGACTAGAGATTACACTGTATTACATGTACCATAAAACAGAGAACACGTGTACTGTAAACTGGCCCAAGGTACTAGAGATTACACTGTATAACATGTACCATAAAACAGAGAACACGTGTACTGTAAACTGGCCCAAGGTACTAGCGATTACACTGTATAACATGTACCATAAAACAGAGAACACGTGTACTGTAAACTGGCCCAAGGTACTAGAGATTACACTGTATTACATGTACCTTAACACAGAGTACACATGCACTGTAAACTGGCCCAAGGGACTAGAGATTACACTGTATTACATGTACCATAACACAGAGTACACATGTACTGTAAACTGGTCCAAGGTACTAGAGATTACACTGTATTACATGTACCTTAACACAGAGTACACATGCACTGTAAACTGGCCCAAGGTACTAGAGAATACACTGTATTACATGTACCATAAAACAGAGTACACTTGCACTGTAAACTGGCCCAAGGTACTAGAGATTACACTGTATTACATGTACCATAAAACAGAGTACACGTGTACTGTAAACTGGCCCAATGTACTAGCGATTACACTGTATTACATGTACCATAACACAGAGTACACATGCACTGTAAACTGGCCCAAGGTACTAGAGATTACACTGTATTACATGTACCATAACACAAAGTACACGTGTACTGTTATTCTATTACATATTCATCATCAAGTGCAGTCAACATACGCTCATTTCAGGAGACTCTTTGTCATGATATAAATGTAGATTGCACCTATTAACTAAGAGCAGTAATCCACACTTTTCACATTAAAATATAGAAATTATTGCATATACAGTAGTAGCTGTAGATATCCATAAAATGTACTTCCCTCATATATAAATGTAACTCACTCATAAAATATATGTACAAATTATGATATATACAACTAAGTAATATCTAGGGTAAATTTCCATATAACACTGGATCCTTACAAAAGTATGATTGTAGGATATGAATTACTAAAAATTGAAAAGGAGCGGTTGCTCAGAAAATTTAACCTCATCATATTGTCTATGCTGATGGAATCACTTCCTTACCCCATATAAAATTATCATAGATATATATCTGTACCTCTGCTGTAGATATTTCCTCCACTTTCCTGTTACGATCGTCAGCGTACACAAACTCTAGTTGTGGGTTTGACTGTGTGCTGTCCCCGGGAAGGTAGAAAGCCTCAGCCAAGATGATTTTATCAGGAGGGTCCACCATTCCACACTCCCGCGCCACACTTAGGGCTGTCAGTATGTTGTCTCCTAGACAGACAGTTATTTATTATTAAACATTTGATAATTTCAGTCATTTGAAAATGTAGATCACTCTGTTTATTTATTTTTTAAGTTTTTTATTGTGATAAAAAGTTTTTACATCTTCAATGCTATTTTTGTAAAAATGTTTGTGATAGAGAAAAAAGTTGCATTTTGACATTTTTCAATTTTGATCAAATCATATTTTTATTTTAATAGTGATAAGTCCAAGCACAGAATAATTCTATAAGGCCACCCCTTTGTACAACAGATTTTTAATGGAAAAGCATGCTAATAAATATAATATATAGTAACCTTACCTGTGACCATGATAGTGCGAATGTTAGCGTCGCGGAGCTGACTGATGACAGGTGACGACTCATGTTTCAGCTTGTTCTCCATGATGAGGAGTCCCAAAAACAGCAGGTCCTTCTCTACTTGTTCTCTGAGGGGACAAAGGGGGTACTAAACACTCCAACATGTCCACAAAGATAAAAGCTACATGTAACTAACAGCTTCAATGCCTCACTACAGACATGTAACTAACAGCTTCAATGCCTCACTACAGACATGTAACTAACAGCTTAAATGCCTCACTACAGACATGTAACTAACAGCTTCAATGCCTCACTACAGACATGTAACTAACAGCTTCAATGCCTCACTACAGACATGTAACTAACAGCTTCAATGCCTCACTACAGACATGTAACTAACAGCTTCAATGCCTCACTACAGACATGTAACTAACAGCTTCAATGCCTCACTACAGACATGTAACTAACAGCTTCAATGCCTCACTACAGACATGTAACTAACAGCTTCAATGCCTCACTACAGACATGTAACTAACAGCTTCAATGCCTCACTACAGACATGTAACTAACAGCTTCAATGCCTCACTACAGACATGTAACTAACAGCTTAAATGCCTCACTACAGACATGTAACTAACAGCTTAAATGCCTCACTACAGACATGTAACTAACAGCTTCAATGCCTCACTACAGACATGTAACTAACAGCTTCAATGCCTCACTACAGACATGTAACTAACAGCTTCAATGCCTCACTACAGACATGTAACTAACAGCTTCAATGCCTCACTACAGACATGTAACTAACAGCTTCAATGCCTCACTACAGACATGTAACTAACAGCTTCAATGCCTCACTACAGACATGTAACTAACAGCTTCAATGCCTCACTACAGACATGTAACTAACAGCTTCAATGCCTCACTACAGACATGTAACTAACAGCTTCAATGCCTCACTACAGACATGTAACTAACAGCTTCAATGCCTCACTACAGACATGTAACTAACAGCTTCAATGCCTCACTACAGACATGTAACTAACAGCTTCAATGCCTCACTACAGACATGTAACTAACAGCTTCAATGCCTCACTACAGACATGTAACTAACAGCTTCAATGCCTCACTACAGACATGTAACTAACAGCTTCAATGCCTCACTACAGACATGTAACTAACAGCTTCAATGCCTCACTACAGACATGTAACTAACAGCTTCAATGCCTCACTACAGACATGTAACTAACAGCTTCAATGCCTCACTACAGACATGTAACTAACAGCTTCAATGCCTCACTACAGACATGTAACTAACAGCTTCAATGCCTCACTACAGACATGTAACTAACAGCTTCAATGCCTCACTACAGACATGTAACTAACAGCTTCAATGCCTCACTACAGACATGTAACTAACAGCTTCAATGCCTCACTACAGACATGTAACTAACAGCTTAAATGCCTCACTACAGACATGTAACTAACAGCTTAAATGCCTCACTACAGACATGTAACTAACAGCTTCAATGCCTCACTACAGACATGTAACTAACAGCTTCAATGCCTCACTACAGACATGTAACTAACAGCTTAAATGCCACACTACAGACATGTAACTAACAGCTTAAATGCCTCACTACAGACATGTAACTAACAGCTTCAATGCCTCACTACAGACATGTAACTAACAGCTTCAATGCCTCACTACAGACATGTAACTAACAGCTTAAATGCCTCACTACAGACATGTAACTAACAGCTTAAATGCCACACTACAGACATGTAACTAACAGCTTAAATGCCACACTACAGACATGTAACTAACAGCTTAAATCCCTCACTACAGACATGTAACTAACAACTTATATGCCTCACTGCTGACATGTAACTAACAGCTTATATGCCTCACTGCTGACATGTAACTAACAGCTTATATGCCTCACTGCTGACATGTAACTAACAGCTTATATGCCTCACTGCTGACATGTAACTAACAGCTTATATGCCTCACTGCTGACATGTAACTAACAGCTTATATGCCTCACTGCTGACATGTAACTAACAGCTTATATGCCTCACTGCTGACATGTAACTAACAGCTTATATGCCTCACTGCTGACATGTAACTAACAGCTTATATGCCTCACTGCTGACATGTAACTAACAGCTTATATGCCTCACTGCTGACATGTAACTAACAGCTTATATGCCTCACTGCTGACATGTAACTAACAGCTTATATGCCTCACTGCTGACATGTAACTAACAGCTTATATGCCTCACTGCTGACATGTAACTAACAGCTTAAATGCCTCACTACAGACATGTAACTAACAGCTTAAATGCCTCACTGCTGACATGTAACTAACAGCTTATATGCCTTACTACAGACAAGTAACTAACAGCTTATATGCCTCACTACAGACATGTAACTAACAGCTTCAATGCCTCACTACAGACATGTAACTAACAGCTTCAATGCCTCATTACAGACATGTAACTAACAGCTTAAATGCCTCACTACAGACATGTAACTAACAGATTAAATGTTGAGATTTGATAAACACATAAAAAACTTATCTCAAATTGTAAACCATGCAATTTAAATTGGACCTCTGGTTTTACCAAATTTGGAACCCATGAGATGGACATTCCCTTGGTATGAAGGATTATTTTCTTTTCATTTCATTTTCTGGAGTCAGCTCAGAAACCATGAAAAGTCATATAACCAGCTAACGCTTTCCAAATACAAAAGCTGTCCATGTACCCACTTCCTCCTTAGCTTTTATCATGTCGGCAGTTTCCTCATTTCAGCATTTATTCCCGATTTCAAGTCATCACATGCTTGTTCTCCCCCCTGCATTGTCATGTCACATACTTGAAATAGTAAAAATTCCTACATCCTATCATATACACACAATAATGAGGGAAAATGTGCCCCCCCCCTTCCCCCAACAATAAAATGTTTACTCCCCTTTGTTGCTGTGTCATATATACATAGTAATGATACTAATGATACAACTACACACTACACAACACCAAAATGTGGTGGCTAGCACAAAAGATTTAAATAATACTAGCTGTTTGTAAAATGTCTTAATACATAAAGGAAGCATGGCTATAATGTTATATCTTAGGCTATGACAGACAGGCGTTGGAGCTTACCTCTGCATCCTCTGTATTTTGACGTAGTTTATTTTAGAAGACAGTGGTTTCCAGGCCAGAGCGATCACACGGTAACCGTGTTGGGTATAGGAACTCAACACACTCTGGAAGTTGTCAGGTACTGGAAATCAAACAGAATTTAGGGTTTATTTACAATGCAGCTGACAAACACGTTCATATAATAATATACAACATTTGATATAGCTAGAATAAGCCACTCTAAAGCGCTTTACAGTACATAGATATACAATTTATACACTCAATACAGTTAGCATATACATAAATCAATACCAATTTGAGGAATTTGCAGCAGCTGCCTTATCAGGCACTAATTACTAGTCCTATGCCACCTGGCTAATATCTCCCTATGTGTGTATGCCTGCATGTGTGCTGGAGATGTATTGTGTTCTGTTTGTAGTGGGACTGTGCTTCCAACACTTGAATGCTACAGCACAGCAAACATCTACCACAGATCATTTTATACTCCACCTGGGATGTCATACCATATTAGTTTAAATTTAATATTCCAGTGCTAAATCCTTTGAGTCATGCAAAACAATTTCAGTGAGCTACAAAATTAATCCAATTAGCAGGAAATTTCCTCAAACCAAGCAAATTTGTGTGAAAATTCATCGTGTCAAAGGCTGATTATGGATTTAGGAATAAAATCTCCACCAATGACACTTCCAAAATTAAAGTATACCACCAATTCAGCAGCTTAGCAACTTATTTGTTATCTTTAAAATCTAAGTCTAAGGGCTTCACTCCTGATATCACATGTCTACTCTCCTCCATTGGATTTCCTCAGGACAGAATCAAACTTACCATATGCACCACCTTAAGCTTGCAAATTACATGAGTCAACTAACCTGTACACTGTTAAAGAATCTTACATACTTGTGATCTCAGAATAATGTTCTGATGAAAGATAAAAGTGCCTTGTGCAGCAGCATAACAGTCCAATTGACCAGCTATGACCTCAGAGTAACTCTTTCTTCAAAGTACAGATAACACTGTTTATTAGCCTTGGGATTGGTCAGATTTTGGTTTTGAGAACAATTAAATAATAATAAATAATAATTGGAGGTTCTTATATACCGCTTTATCACAACCTAGTTCGTAGGTCGTCTCAAAGCGGTTCACAATTATTACCCGTGGTTATAGGGCCTTTGCAACTAGCCAGTACATTTCTCAACTCCCTGGGGAGCATACAGCCGGAGATGCCATTTCGGCGCTTACAGCTAGCATTCAACAATTCTATCTCTGCCCAACCACGTACTCATTTACAGCTGAGTAGACTGGAACAAGCGGAGTAAAGTATCTTCCTCAAGGATACAACACATTGCCGTGCAAGTGTCAACCACTGCTAGGACCATGTCAGACTCTAATTATGACATATTATCACATATTTAGTAAAAAAAATATTTTCAAAACTTTATCAACACCTTATCAACTTCCAAAGTATTTAACAAGTAAATCTGGTGATAAATGTGCTAAAGGTGTCCTATTTACCTGTGCTTGGTCTACAGAGGCTGGCGATCATCTCAGGTGAACCTTTACAGTACAGCTCAAAGTTCGTGGACTGGAGCTGTCTCACGATGACAGACATACGCTGTAGACTGGAGCTGAATGTGAACTGACGCAGGATTCCGTACTCCTCCAGTGGCTGTGGGTCAACCTGATATCATACATGAACTCATAAATGACTGAGATTTTTAAGAGGTGAATGTATCACTTTTTGAGATCGACAGATGCCAAGAATAAATTTTGCATTTTAACACTGAACATTCGCACCAAATAGCCGTTAGACAAATCACTATGTAGATCACTTGACAAAACATTGTGTCTCATGGTAGCATGTGCTCCCTTTAGAAACATCTCTAAAATTCTCAATATTTTTTCATCTTTTACCACATCAACAACAAGAGCACCGCAAACGGATGCAAAATACGCCCGTCTGACCCTATCCAATGATTTTTTGTTTGTTTGATATTTAAAGTACCTGGTAGCCAGTGTCATGTCTATGTGATAAAAATGATTGCACTGATGCTTTTGTTTCCAAGTGTGATTGTCATCACTGTAATGTTCACATTTATGATATTGGTTCTTTGCTAATGTACTGCCTAATGCCTCTTAATCAGGGCATGCAGTAGACCCTTGACAGTATGTTTTTGACTCCCCTTAATTTGATTAGACTTGTGGGTTTATAGGGACATGTCTACCATAATTGCCTATGTATATACAATTTACAAAAACAGGAATTATTTTCCCAAATTAAATCCATATTGTCCTGTTAGACCTAACATAAACATCCATGCCAAAAATTAGGACAATACCACATGATCTTACTGAACTGTACGCCACTGAAAAAACTTGCACCAAAACTTTAACCAAGAAATTGTGCGAGAGAAGTTAAGTCCCAAACACGTCTAAAATTTCCAAAAATAGAAATTATTTTCCCAAATTAAATCCATGTTGTCCTTGTTCGACCCCACATGAACATCCCTGCCAAAAATTAGGACAAAAACACATGATCTGACTGAACTGTAGACCACTGAAGAAACTTGGACCCAAACTTGAACCGAACGGACGGATCGACGCAGACACTATACCATAATTCCCCCCGTATAATAAAGGCAGACAACCAACTGTACAAATCTAAAGTAAGATTTTGTTGTTGTTGATTCTGTCATTTAACTCATTCACCCCTGAAGAAACATTTGAACTCTTCCAATTCAAAGGTTGGTATTGTTCATTATGAAATTTCAGGGATGAATGAGTTAAACGTGATAATGACTCAGAATGCGTTTCATAAAATTTTAATTTTGTAGAATCAACAATTTATGGCCCTGGTTGAAGGGTGATATGAAAGTTTGTTTACCCCCGGAAGTTACATGCTCCTCAGGTTTCACCCTTGGGGAATATAACCATCACATGAAACAAGCATTCATAGCAAACACCTACCCGGTCAATAAATGTTTAATAAATTACTCGTGAATTCATATTTGTAAATAAGAACTAGCTTGAATCCTTATAAATTAACTTTTGGGATGCTGTATAATCTTTGTACCTTATCTGCGAAGTCGATGGTGTCCTTGAGGACGTCTGGTGATACAGATGGGTAGACAATTGTAGGCACCATCATATCAAATCTGTGAGACTCCTCATGGCCTGGCTCCTCCAAGTCCTACCCACATAATAACAGACTGTTATGACACACATTACATAAACAAGATCAATCCTAGTATACTCCCCTCCAGAGAATCACAGACTGTAAGTTTTACACTTTATATACATCAATAGAATCTGTTAGACATAAGTATGATCACCTCAGAGAAAATAAACCCTTCAAATATCAACAGCCAACACATCCCAAAATATATAATGGTTTGAGAGTGATGAACCTTTTGGCAGTTACAGGGTACAGAGAATGATACTAGGGTGAATTCTTACCCAGCCGACGGATGCAAACATGATGAGGTCCAGGGGATCACCACTGAGAACACCATCAATCTTAGTGAGAGAATGGCAGGTTGCCATACACACCAGCAAGGTCCCCTTGGAAACGTCAGACATCTGGCGGATCTCTTCCTGGAAACTGGAAATATTTTTAAGACTTGTTAGTAAATTTGAATTTGGTTGACTTACAATGATTTACAAAGTTATCACTTTTATTTAGTCTTTCATTGTGATATCATCTTGTGATGTTTTAAAGTGACACAATGCTGGCTAAGTTCAAGATTTGCTGTCACAGTTTTGTAAGTTTATGCTACTGAAACAAATTTGTACATCAGCAATGGGATAAGTTGATTTGTGAAAGATGTTCATAATATAAAAATGTTGATTGTCCACTACAACAAAACTGAAAACTACTATCATGATGTTTACTATCTGTGATATATCTCTCATACTGAACTTATGACAAGTTTTCACCTTTATTTCACCTGAGTGTGTATTTTTGTTTTTGCAAAGGAAAAGATAAACCTGTCCTCACCTACCTCAAGACAGGGTTATCTCCCATGTGATATTGTTTTGAAAATGTCACCAGTGCATCATCACTTTATACAGCATTAGCAGCTGGGTCACATCACCAATTTTATGATACATTTTATACGCTATTGATGATGGTGTGACACGTGCATTCAGTTCACCTTAACAATTATTTTCATGGTAGGAATTGTGGGAGAAAATAATCAGTCACTCCTGTGTGATGATGCTGAGAAATTTCAACCCAAAAGAAAAATTCTTGAAGCTTAGCATTCCTCGGCAAAGTCTCATGCTAAACTCCAAAACCTTACCCTTAGGTTGAGGTTTCAGTTTATATCACACATAAGAAATAGATTTTATTATTAGTTTTCTCATTGAATAGGTATGAATCTAAGAAACAAGGCAGAAAACCTGATTCCACGTGTTCAGTATGCTATACCTACCAAGCACCTTCAGATGGTACAACACCTTGCATCATAAGTCCATCCTCCGTCAGAGTGCCGGTCTGTAACGCATCATATCCACATATTAAACTGACATTAATATGAAGATTTGTACCCCTTCCCATTCCCTTCAGGGATAGTTCTTTGCTTAATTGATGTTCCAGTCTGTTCCACTTATTTTGGACTCATTATTTTAAATGAAATACTCAGCAATGGCAATAACTTGATATATATTGTTATCAGACAGATGAATAATACCATACCATAATACTCCTGTCAATGTTGACAGGTATATAAAACGTGTCAGTGGGGACAAAAATTTGTCTGTCTGGTATAAACATGTCAAAAGTAATTTTCTAAAATTACTTAAAGGAGTTTTTGTTAAGTTTTTATTGATTTATTTTCCAAAAGAAAAGTTTATACAGAGTTTTGTAAAACAACTCAGTCAGTTGAGAAAAATGAACCAAGAGTTTCATGAAATGATTTAGTGAGTTTATGAGTGAAATGAACTAAGAACATTATGATTATTGGTTGAAAAAACTGATACAATATCAGGAACGAGAAATTAAAACAAGTCGAAATACCATGATAGTAATCACAGCTTACCTTGTCAAAACACACCGCGTTAATACTACCAGCTATGTTAATGGCCCGCGGGCTGATGCAGTAGATGCCGTGAGATTTCAGGCGTCTCTGGGCGAAGATAATGCCCACCGTGAGTGCCGCTGGCAGTGCAGGAGGTACGGTGATAGTGATGATATCAAGGGAATGGAGGGCAATGTCCTTAGCATCCTCACCATACTGAATCTACAACATGAATGTTATAATGTACAGTCAATTTAGGATACAGTACAATATAATGATAATCAAGGTATGTGTTTACACCAAAGTAAAACATATACAACTCTCATTACATGCACATACTGTATACTGAGAAATTTTCCCTGCAGTTTAATTTAAATTTCCATACAGTACAATATAATAGTAATCAAGCTATGCTTTTATAACATAGTAGTATATATATATTTATCACATACCTGTTGAATCTTGTTATAGTAATACAAGCAATTTTCAGACCATGAAATACACATGTGCAATACGGAATGTTGTATTTCCCTACAAACCGGAACTACTTTTTATGGGAATCCCCTTGTCATGTCGAACTGAAAAGTTCCCGGTATTTGCAAAAAATATCAAAGTTTATAAAATCTTTGTATCTATCTCTACCAAATATTGAAGGTATGTGATAAAAGCAAGACAACACACTCATGAATATATTCGTCCGCGCAATAAACTCATGCTTTCTGATTCGTTAGAAAAGCACAAGTGTGTTGTCTTGCATATATATATAACATGCACATATTGCATACCAGGACATTTTTTCGCTGCAGTTTGTCTTTTTTGCCCTCCTCAATGTGGGCTATTATTATTAGAGTGAACATTTGTAAACAACATGATATACTTAGTACCGGTAACGAAATTTGAAGGGCAAATTTAGTATGGGGAAAAAATGGATTTTACCGTTGAAGGGCAAGAATTTCCCGGTATACATTATGATGATTATGACAATTCTACTTGCTGAAGCTTGTGGGTTTTCATTATCGAGAATCCCCTCAATCTCCTGGATGTAAAACATAACTATCACATCACTTAATCCTCTTGGTAAGAAATGTGAAGTGTTTGAAATACATGTTGTTTTCTCAGATTTTTTATCAGTGACCTTGATTTTGTGTAGAGTCTCAAAATCTCCTTTTATTGATGTCCATTTCGATGGAAATATGTATTTCACAATTATTCTGAAAACAAGTTTTATCAACTTATATTGATCACTCTTAAGCTTGTTGGCCTGCATGAAAGTGCATTTTTATTTCAGAATATGTATCAATATATATTGGTACAACTCTTGTTAGTTCTATATGCTGGTAACTGTAGGGTTAGTAAAATATCTAAATACAATAAACATTTAACTTTATTGACAAACAAGTACTCCATCAGTCTCCATGGACTTCTTACCTCCAGTATGATGGTGTAAATAAAGCCGAGACCTGCGATCATTGCCAGCACACCCACAAAGATGTAGGTGTCACGCTCAAACTTAAAGTCGACAGGTTTGGGGTAGAGGATGGAGCGCACTAGTTCACCTTTAGCTGTGGAGAATCCTGGGGAGAACAGAAACCTCTTACATCCAAGGTACAAATGCAAAATTCATTTATGTCAACTTTGTCATACACAAGATAGTAGGAAGCATAGAAGGTAAGGAATGAGATGATCAGACATTAACCCTTTAACCACTGTAGACCATAATGGACTTATCCAGATCAATGCATGGAAGAGTTTACTAGAGTTACTTAGAGGTGAAAAGGTTAAGTCATTATCAATCGTGCAATATATTAATACATGCTTCTTTTGAGATAGTGTCATCATTTTACGGACAACAACACAAAAACCAGTTAAATGACTTAATACAGATTTTTATTGATATACCTATACATGTGGTGGTTATCAAGTTAAGATTGATTGACACTATCCCTGACAAGTAACCTATTTGATACAATGTATATACACTTTCTATTGCTAGGTGAAACATCCCAAAGCCTGGCCACGAAAAACATTAATTTTACAGTTTCATCACATCATCGGACAAGGAAGGAAGAGGAGAACCAATACCGATTCAATGTAGGAAGGGTCCATCAATAGTGTGCTTGCTTGAACATGGATACCGATCGGTATACCTGACGAGACATAACTGGCTAAACCGGTCGCCAAATAATAAAGTATTCTACCTACTTATCTTGTGAAGCTTGTTAATGTTGAGAACACTCTGATCGACTATGTTTTATGATACAAATAAACAATGCATATCAATTGTTCAGTAATAGCTTTTCAAAGGGACTAGTTGGTTTTAAAACATTGCAACACGTTTAATACTTATATCGCTCGTGTATAAAACCAAATTTTGATAAACACATATTTTCCAAATAATGAATCTTATCGAATCTATGAGGTGTATTACCTGTTCTGACCACCACTGCCCTGACCCTCTTGTTACCGTAGTAACGTGTTTGTATTATATGTGTGCCACAGAACAGGATGTGACGTGCATGCTCTTTGATGTCAAAGGTCGTAGTTATCTGTTCACCGGGTTTGACCAGCTTAGGGTTTGGGAGGGGAGTTTTCGTCACTGGAACACTCTCTCCTACCAAATAGAAAAAAACAATAATTTCAGTAAGACACAATACAAGTAAGCCTTAATTTAATTGGTAGTAATCTTTAATTTACCAATCAGCTCTTCATGTATAAGTTATTACACTTATGTACAGGTAAATATACCTATGTCAATTAATTATACCTATATATATATATGTACAGGTAATAATCATACCTATGTACAGGTAACTGAAAACAGAATTGATGAGCAACAACACCACTGAAACTGGTACAAAATGTAAGGTTTGATTTACATCCTAAATGCTGAAATTTTTCGACAAAAGGAAGGACGTCTTCAGAGCACAGTTACATGATGTTTGCAACTATGGTACAAAGATTTTTATTCGCTCTGCTTTCCCTGATGAGCACTGTTGAATACCATTAAGGTATCCACCCCGGGATCCCTTCTGCCACTTCCTTGTAGTGACGTTGAGTCTCCACCCCCCCAATTGTTACTATGTACAGGTTATTATACCTATGAACAGGTAACTATACCTACCTGTGAGCATGCTTTCGTCTACGATACAGTTCCCAGCCACGAGGACAGCATCATACTGCATTATACAGCCATGCCGCGGGATCTCTATGACATCACCAGGGATCAGGTCCTCTGATTGGATGTTACAGGCTGCCAACAAATCGACATTGGATCAGGTTTTAACACAGTTACGCTGATTGCTTAATTAACAACCTCAGTGTGTCGTAACTGTACTATATTTTAATGAAATTAGATTTCATGCAAATTATTACAGAGAAATTAAATTGACCACCATCATACATAGAACTCATTACTGAAGAAGCCCATTGTAGGGGCGAAACCGGTCGACACTTCTAATAAACTACAAGAATAACTTATTGCTCCTTCGCCTGTTGTGATTGAATCTATTTTATGATGTTTCCACTTTTACTCAATCCCCTGCATACTCTGGGTATCCAGACGAGGAGCAGAGAACCAAATTATTCCACCATTAAGAAAACCACGGCATTGGCTCTACCCTTGCCTTATTAGAACTCATTACTGATGTAATTGCTCATTTAAAGCAAGCATCACTTTAGAAGATCTAACACCAATTTAATCCTGTACTAGCTAGTGTTAATTGATATTACAGAATTTGAAACTGAAAACCAAATATTCAATGAATCATTCTGATTCAGACATAAAATTTGAAATAGGTAGAATTCCTATTGACACTTACGTTCATTATCGCCACGGAAAACCGTCACGGTCGTTGAAGCTTGAATTGTGTTACGCAATGCTCGCTGCATCTGTATATTCATTGTGTATTAATATGGGGGAATATGAAAAGAATGATACCATAATCTGTCTTATAACTTTAATAATTTAGATATTTGTATCACATGATTTCCAATGTGACTAACGTATGGATTACTGAACCAAACTGAAAATAGTTTTTATTTATATACTGTATCATGTCCCCAAATCATATTCTGTAAAGAGTATATTAAATTTATTAGAAATCTACATACAGACATAACAGATATGATAGTTTTCAATATTTAACAGAATTAACACTGGTGTACATACTAAACTAACAACTCACATATTGTGTTAGGTAGATGTGTACAGATATTATAGTTTTCAATATTTAACAGAATTAACACTGGTTACTTAGCTAACAACTCACATATTGTGTTAGGTAGATGTGTACAGATATTATACTCACAGATCTGGTTTGGTAGATGGATGTGTTGATGGAGACGGTTGTGATGAGGAGGATACAGGTGGCGTAGATATAGTACTCGTCTGAGTACCACACACTCATACTGAATACTTGAAACACATAGAAAGGGGACAGCACCTAATGTAAAAATAAGATGTTCAACTTTTGTAAATAACAGTAAAATTATTTAAGAATGTTTTAAAAAATCACTGAAGGAGGCTGGAGACACAACATCCCTAAAAGTTGAAAATCTGGTACAATTAAGATGATTACTGCCATAGATACTGGTAGTATATGGAGTCTCCGCTAATAGCTCATCAATGAATTCCGAAGGCGTGTGGACAACACGACAGCATCTTACATATAGAAAAGTTTATTTTAGCTTTGTATTTAAATGGTTCAGCTCTGATGATAGGTCACCTTTGAGTTAAAGCATGTAAACACAGGGCTAGAATGAATTCAACTATAATCAAGATTCTGCCTCGTTGTCTACCCTTCTTTGGAATTCATTTAGGTATGTTTTTATAGCTGTTTAGGTAATATCATCTTACTACCAAACCTGCTGAAATGATCAGCTGTATGATGTAATCACCTGTATTGGGTAACCACTTGTATTAGACGAACATGTTCATTTCTTACTATCGCCTGTATTGGGTAATATAACCACCTGTATAAGATGAACATGTTTATTTCTTACTATCGCCTGTATTGGGTAATCACCTGTATTAGACGAAAATGTTCATTTCTTATTATCGCCTGTATTGGGTAATCACCTGTATTGGGTAACCACCTGTATTGGGTAACCAACTGTATTGGGTAACCACCTGTAATAGGTAACCACCTGTATTAGACAAACATGTTCATTTCATACTATCGCCTGTATTGGGTAACCACCTGTATTAGACGAACATGTTCATTTCATACTATCGCCTGTATTGGGTAACCACCTGTATTGGGTAACCACCTGTATTAGACGAACATGTTCATTTCTTACTATCGCCTGTATTGGGTAACCACCTGTATTAGACGAACATGTTCATTTCATACTATCGCCTGTATTGGGTAACCACCTGTATTGGGTAACCACCTGTATTAGACGAACATGTTTATTTCTTACTATCGCCTGTATTGGGTAACCACCTGTATTAGACGAACATGTTCATTTCTTACTATCGCCTGTATTGGGTAACCACCTGTATTGGGTAACCACCTGTATTAGACGAACATGTTCATTTCTTATTATTGCCTGTATTGGGTAACCACCTGTATTAGACGAATATGTTCGTTTCTTACTATCACCTGTATTAGGTAACCACCTGTATTAGACGAACATGTTCATTTCTTACTATTGCCTGTATTGGGTAACCACCTGTATTAGACGAACATGTTCATTTATTACTTTCGCCTGTATTGGGTAATATAACCACCTGTATTAGACGAACATGTTCGTTTCTTACTATCACCTGTATTGGGTAATGACCTGAATTAGACGAACATGTTCATTTATTACTTTCGCCTGTATTGGGTAATATAACCACCTGTATTAGACGAACATGTTTGTTTCTTATTAACACCTGTATTGGGTAATATACCCACCTGTATTAGACGAACATGTTCATTTATTAGTATCGCCTGTATTGGGTAACCACCTGTATTAGACGAACATGTTTGTTTCTTATTATCACCTGTATTGGGTAATATACCCACCTGTATTAGACGAACATGTTCATTTCTTATTATCGCCTGTATTGGGTAACCACCTGTATTAGACGAACATGTTTATTTCTTACTATCACCTGTATTGGGTAACCACCTGTATTAGACAAACATGTTCATTTATTATACAGGGGTAACCACCTGTATTAGACGAACATGTTCATTTCTTACTATCGCCTGTATTGGGTAACAACCTGTATTAGACGAACATGTTTATTTCTTACTAAGTGTCTTTACTAATTTAGTAAGCTCGATAGATAACCAATTGTTTAACGTGACCAGCGACCACATGTTTTTGGTCTAAAACTGATAAAGAAATAGCGCGTGACAAATTAAGATACAACGTTTCACGAAATTTATGGGCAATCAATTTCAGAAAAACGAAATGAAGACATCACAGACATATTGGTAAGTCAGCAAGAAAACCTAAATATTTATACCTACAGTCATGATAAACAGGAATATTGAATGTCTCTCTCACCAACATCTAATGAATTAAATATCATTGTAAATAGAAATGTAACGATGACAAAATTAGTTAAATATCAACATACATTTCTGATGCCATATAGTGTCCCTGCTGGTCAATATTACTTTTCACCTTGCATTATCTTCCATTTCATTGGATGACACATACCCAGGGCCAGGTATTTGAATATGCAAATAATCAATTTTATTTTGAGCTTTATTCATTAAGATATTTGCCTCATTTTGATTTTTTTTCTTTTCTACATGTATCCCCATTATAAACAAGAGGCCCATAGGGCCTGTATCGCTCACCTTGATATCTAAGCAATCATGGCAGAATATTCTCCAAATGAGATCCAAGGGAATATGCCAGACCCCAAGGCCAATCCTTGTAGCATATATATCTGTATTCAATTTTTCATGCCCAGCAATTTTATGTATGGTTATGGGGTGGGGATCTCAACTGTTTCCAAGCTGTGACGCAGAAACTAGGTCCCTACGGTTGTGGCCAGACCCCAGGATCAATTCTAATATCATGACTGCATTTGTCTCTTTTTGCCCA